GTCAAAATTTGATAGGCCATAAAGAAGTCTAAGGTTTGTGTATGATCCAAGACCCAATCCCTACTGTAATAATTAATTTGCAGCCTGGTTACTGTTCTGTTAGATGTTAGTATTCTCCTTCCCCAAACCATAGTTGAAGGACTCAAAACTCATTTGCGGATGCAACAGATAGTAATCTAGTTGAAATGCTGTTATTTGCTCTCTTATTTTCTAGATACATTATTGAAGAATCCCAGTCACTATTCTAATTCATTCATTGCGAATCTAACCTATTCTGGCTTTGGATTGGTAATTGCCCTGCTTTTTTCTTTTGAATTTTTTTTTTAAATTTTAATTGAATTTTATATCTTTTGTTTTGAGAACTGATAAAATTGTCATTTGGTGACGAAGTTGTCACTAACAACATCTATCATCTGGATAAATTGCACTTGCAGAAAATATCTAGTCGTGAATATTAGTCTAAAATTCAGGTCTTCCTGGTGTATGAATCAATGAAATATCTTAGGCACAAGATACTTGGATTTATCACTAGCCGATGTATATTGGGTTTGAAAATTGCAATGTGACATGGAGGGAAGTGTCAATGGTTTTTTGGCATGATAGACTAAGGGTGCGCTAACCTTGTGTGTGTAGAAGTATTTAACGATTCCTAAATCCCCACCTTGACTTGTCTACTGTGAAAGGCCAATCTTGACATTGCCATTTCCTCGCACTCATATCCTTATCATATTCTGACACGTATACAACTCTAGGTAAATTGAGATGATATGGCTATGCTTTCTATGCGCCTAATTGTTTTGAGCAAAGATTGATTGGACATATAAACTTAGGGCATCATTTCCTTGGATAACTTGATTGAAAAAAAAAAGGAAAAAAAAAAAGAAAAAAAAAAAGGGAAACACATTTGTAGGACTCCTTGGATTATTTACACACAGATTCATTCACAGGCATATACATACGTACATCTCTGTGCATATATGTTGGGGGATAAGTTTGTTTATCGCATACCTTTGAAGAAGTGTATTGAGATGGATTCGATGCCCATCATGTGCTTATT